TGTTAAAAAGGTTTAACTCCTGTTAAAAATTCAGTTGTCTTTCACCAATTTAATCATTTAGGTTATGTCTATCAGTAACATCATTGATCACCAACCAAATAAATGTGTCTCTGTTGATTCAGATGCTACTGAAAGAAGAGTGAATCCAGCCTGAGTGATAAATCATTCACTGTGTAAAATGAACAAAAAGACCACGGGTTAAAATACAATGTTACTTTTATTAGCTACAATCACACAGTATTATACCTAATAACTAGGCAAACACTAAACATTACTGAAAATAAGCAAAACTAAAGCAATAAAAGGGGAAGCAGGGTTTAAGAGTCTGTTCAAAATCTGAGGGATGTTGGAAGTTTAAGGCTTAATGTTTTTGAAAGTGTCCTTTATAACAGGAGGAGATAAAATGTGGCAATGTGACAGCAAATCCCATAATGCTTTGAGAGGAGAGCTCTCCGCTCAAACTTCGTAGACAAATTTTCTCTTATGACGCTCAGCCATTTTCAAAGAACCATGGTGAGAAAGGTGAGCCTCAATGACTGTCTTAAACTGTAGCTCACCACACATATAATCCTTAAAGTGCGCATGTGCAGAAAAATATAGCTAAAGGGACAAGCATGTAGGATGGCCTTATGTAAACATATCACCAGAATAATTCACAATTAGGAGGACCACTTATTTAGATTATCCACCTAGAAATAAAAGACCGTCCTCTACCTTAAATAACCCTCAGAATTCGCCAGAATACATTGAGGCTGTATGCAATTGTTCAGGTAGATCTAGGTTAGAGACGACTTTTTAACACTGGAGGTGGAACTGAGGTCTGGGGGAAAGGAAGCCATTGGGAGGCTAGTGGAATGAAGGGGAGGAAGGATCCTGCTTATCAAGAAAGTAAGGATGTCCTGAACAGTGATCGGCTTATATGCAAGCAAAGAGTTATGATAAGGAGATTGCAGGTAATTTCCTTTCAGCTTGAAATTGCACCTAGTCTTCATGTGAATGTAAACTTCATTAAGGATTTAGGAAAAAGTTACAGTTTTAATTGTATGTGGAGATTTCTAAGCAGTGCCTTTTGAAATAAATCCTAGCTCTTTGGTCTTTGGATTTCTGGATGAGACTCGACTGCTTTCATGCTCTACTGGAGCATTCATTACGACCAAAGGAAACACCAAAGCAACTCCTGAATAAAATCAACATTGAGGAACTCCCTCATTGATACTTTATACA